AGGGCACTGGCTCTTGCAAGATCCTGCAGAGCCAGCAAGATCCTGCAAAGCCTGGCTGACCCTGCGGCCAGGACCAGGACCCCCGACGTCATGTTTTTCCGTGACGTCGACCCGTCTCGACCCATTCCCCCAGACCGGCGTTTCATCCTGAGTCGTTTTTGGACGCGCCCTGAGGCCCGGCAGGGGGCCCCAGAAGCCGAAATAGCGAAAAACCTCCCGTCGTGATTTTTACTACAATGAAGGGCTCCTCGAGTAGATGGGGTAGGAGGATTGCGCTGCATCGCCAACGCATCGGCGATACATCGCCGACGTCGGGCGACGCATCGGCGATGTCGGCGTGGAGAAGATCGGGCTCGGCATCGAGCCGCATCGTCGATGCATCGGCGATGCGGCGCAATCCTCCGACCCCATCTACTCAGACCCCATCGGGGAGGCCTAGACACACCTCGAGCGGGTCTGGGCAACCTGACTGATCCCCGACGTCATGATTTTGTTCATGACGCCGACCCCCAGAGGTCTCGACCCATTCCCCATGACTGGCTTTCCATCCCGAGTCGTTTTTGGAAGGTCTGGAGGCCCGGCCAAGGCCCCAGAGGCTGAAAATACCGCAAAACCTTCCGTCGTGTTTTTTCGCAGCGGAGGCCTCCTGGATGGGGTCCGAATAGATGGGGTCGAAGGATCGGTGATGCATCGCTTGCGTCGGCGACGCATCGGAGATGTTGGCGGGGAAAAGATCGGGCTCCGCATCGAGCAGCTTCTTCGATGCATCGGCGATGCGGCGCGATCCTCCGACCCCATCTACTCCGACCCCATCTGGGAGGCCTAGAGACACCTTGAGGGGGTCTGGGCAGCCTGACTGACCTCGAAGACCTGCTGACCCAGGTCAATCCAGACCCGGGCCAGTCAGGCCTTGCAAGATCCTACAACATCCTGCAGCATCCTACCGGATCCTGCACCCAGACCTGGGTCAATGAGACCCTGGCCCTGAAAGATCCTGCAACATCCGGCGCTCTGACTGACCCCCGCTTGCATTTAAAAAAACGCTTCGGCACACCATAGACGTTGCCCACCACACGTGAACTGTCAGAGAAGACTGAACCGGAGCCGGGGAGGCGCTGGACGCGCCAGGCGAGCCATGCGCCTGCGGACCGAGCACCGCCCAGCTGACCCGCGAAAGGAGCCCCGGATAGGGGGGGAGAGGGAAAAGCGACAGGGAAAAGGGGAAGGAAGGCCCCCATGCATCTCACTTGACCCCCGATGCCATGATTTTCTCACGACGTCGACCCCCAGAGGTCTGGACCCTTCCCCGGGACCGGCTCTTCATCCTGAGTCGTTCTTGGACGGCCCGCCCCTATGGGCCCGGCGAGGGCCCCTCGAGGCCGAAGACTGCGACACACCCCCGCCTGTTGACTCCTCCCATGCGCTGGCCCTCTGGGCCTGGAGCCCCCGCGGCCGCGCGCCCCAAGGGCGGGCCGCCTGGCCGCCCCGCGCCCGGCCCCGCCCCGGCGGGGGGCGCCGCCAGCGCCCGGCAGGGCGGCTGGCCCATGCCGGCGGAAGGCGCCCGGCGCCCCCCGGCGGGGGGCCCCCCGGCCGCGCGCCGCGGGCGCGCCGGGCGGGCCGCGGGCGCCCGCCGAGCTGTCCGCGGCGGTGGGCCCGAGGGGATGCGGCGCCCTCTTCCCTCGAGCGCCTCGCGCCCAGGACGCCCTCGAGGCACGAAACTGGCCATCGCTCGGACGTCCAGTCCCTGTGTGTTTCTGTCGGCTTCGTGCGTGGCTTTTTCGCCAAAGGATCAACGATGCTCCTCGATGGCCCTCGCCGAGAAAAAATGCACATGTCCGAGAGATGCCAGGGAAAAAGAATCACGGCGGGAGGTCTGTCGCGATTTGCGGCCCACTGCGGGCCCCTGCTGGGCCTCGGGGCCGTCAAAGAACGCCCCGGGATGGAAAACCGGTCCCGGGGAATGTGTCCAGGTCGTCTGGGGGTCGACGTCATGAAAAAATCGTGACGTCGGGATCCCCGAAGACTTCTGCGAACTCGCCGACGAAAGCGCCCGCCGGGTTGACGGAGGACCTGCCTCGGGGCTCCAGGCCACGTCGGACGCAGGCGCCTGCCACATAG